ATTGAAATAAACCTGGAATAGAATGGGATGAAGTTGAGGAAATGAGCAGATCTGGCAGTTTATGGCTTGTAGGCCACAGGGAGGCACCTGGGTTTTATTCTCAGTGCCTGGGCAGCTACTGGAGTTGTCGAAGGAGGAAGTGGCATAATCTCACCTCTGACTTTTTAAAAATCTCTTTGTTGTGTGTACAAAGGCAATAAAACCTGTTATACTATTGCAGTGGTCTGGGACAACTATGCTAGAGTGAAAGTATATTTTGGAAGTAGAACTGACAGAATTAATGTATGTGGTAAATATGGAATGTGAGGGAAAGTGAGGCTTCATATTTCTAGCTTGAGCAGCTGGTTATATTGTTGAATGAGATGGGGAAGACAGAGAAAGAGAAAGAAATAGATTTGGAGATATTTGGTGGTGGTGAAATTGTAGTTCAGTTTTGATCACGTTACGTTTGAGATACCAGTGAGATATCGAAGTGGAAATGAATCAGAACTAGAATTTGGGACCAGTGATGTAAATATGGGTGTTATCAGTAAATATATAACATTTTAAACCATGGGAATGGATGAGGTCACCTAGGAAGAGTAAAGAGGGCTTGGGGCTGTACATCAGAGTGTTGTGAAGATGTGGGCATGCTGTAAAGGGAGCGGCCCTCCCTGGGAAATGTCTCCTCAGGTAGAGTACTTAAGTGGGGTGGGAGTAGGGGTGTGTGACTGTTTTTAGGTACTCATTTCAAACAAGATGATTGTCTAATAAGAAGCCGGAAGTCTAAGTGTAGTTGCGTTGAATGAGAGCTAGGGTAGGACACATTCAGGTAGAGCAAGATAAACTCCTTTCTGCCCTTAGCTCAGGAGTTCTAGTCACCAGAGTTCCCTAATGAGTCTTCCTAAAGGAAGGCCAGCACTCACCGGAAGCAGCTTGCCATTGTCAACACCCACTGTGCCGAAATGAGGGTGGCTGCACAGATGTGGAACAGACCCTGGCGGATGCTGACCTGCCAGGGCCACTGCCCCACGTTGGCCTCCCTGCCTGAGGCAATGCTGGATGAGACTGCAGGCCGCCCACAGACTGCCAATAAAGAGGAGAAAAGCATGGGAGACCCACCCCAGAATCCTGCCCCTCTGCCCCCACCGCTCCCTGCTCATTTCTCAAACTTGAGTCCTCTCTCCTCGGTCCACCAGGCATGCTGCCTCTGGCTGGGGTGCCTTACTTGACTTTAAGAGATTCTCTCGTTCCTCTTCATCTGTGCCTAAGGAGAGAAAAGGGGGAAGGTGGGAGATACCCATGATGAATCCCTGTTGCTGTGGGAGGCCTACACCCCATGCCCTGTGCTGCCTTTCCTGGGCTGGAGCCCCTACCCATGCCTAGGAGTCTCCTCAGGGGCTCACCTGAGATCCCCAGCACAAGGCACAGCAGGAAGGCACAACCAGCAGGGCCCATGTCTCCTCAGAATTGGCACTTTCTGCTCCCTGGACTCAGGCTTCCAGGGCAAGGCCAGCTGGGGAGCAGCCAGAGAAGGGGATCAGGACCAGCTTCTCCTAGATGAATTCCTTTGCTTCGCTCCTTCCTCTCCTTTGGTCTTTACCCTGGCCAGACACTGAAGGGATCAGACTTCAGAGGTGCAGCTGTAAGATCCAGGGGGAGGAGCTAGGGTCTGGGGCGCCCCCTGCTGTGTAGGAAGAACAGGGTGTCTGGGGTTCCTGCCTGCTGCTGGAGAACGGGCAGTGGGAAGAGGGTAGGTGGGGTGTGGGCACTGGAAGGAGCAGGGCCCACTCAGTGCACAGTGACCCTGGTGTGGGGTGACACCAGACTCACAGACCTCCCTTCGCCCAGGGACCTGTCCTAGTTGCTTCCATTTAATCCCCCCTTGATCAATGGTGAACCAACCTGGGGCACATCCCTGAGCTTGGATCACAAAAGGGCTGTGCAGAGTGGTTGCTCAAGTTCTCGACCTCTAGAATGGTTACAGGACTGACAATAAAAATAAAAAAGGAGAAATAAGCCACTCGGTTGACTAACCATATTTTCTGCTTTCTCTCTTTCAAAAAAAACTTCAATCTCCCTGTTATAATTTGTTCTTTGCCTCCCTAAATCAGCAAGTGAACCAACCTGGGGCAGATCTTATTAGGTCTTTATCGTGTATAAGGTATTGTGCTAAATGTGGAGCAGGATCTATAGAGGAGCATGAATCATGGGGCTGCCTGCCTTCCAGGGGTTGACAGCCTAGTTGCCTCCATGAGAGCCTTTCTCAGCTTTGTTTGGTTATGGGCTACAGGAAGGCCTATAGGAAGGACAATTCCAGAGCCAAATAAAAGTACCAAAGATCTCAAGATATCAAATCTTGCCTCCCCTTAGTTTCAAGGGATAGGGTCTCAGTAGAAAGCAAAAATAGTTTTAGCCACAATGCCCAAAAGATAGAGTTTATAGGATACTAATGTGAATAATTAATAATATAGACAATTACAACTCTAGAGAAAAGGACAGTTTAAAATCTGTTATAATTCAAGTCGTCTTTTGGTTTACAAGGAGAATAAACTTTGTCTAGAAATGTGAAGTTGATTCTAATAGTTTAATGTGATTAGTTACGGAAGCTTGATAACATTTTCATCCACACAGTAGCTCTGTGAGGGAAGCATGTTTTCATTCCCATTTTATAGATGAGGAAACTGAGGACCTTGGAGGTTAAACGTCTTAACTAGTTTTATTATACTGTGTACTAGCAAAGCTGGGAGTTGCTTCTACTTCCTAGTCTAGTAATTAGATTCAAATCTAGATCTCCAGATTTATTGTCTAGTAATCTTTCCCTCTGTGCAGCCTCCCAAGTTCAGAAGACATAATTCATTTATTCAGTGCCCATGCAAGGCACTGTCCTAGAATAGAGGAGTGACAACATAGAAAAAGCCCTGTCCTCATGGAGCTTGTATCATAGTTTCAGGGTAGATCATGACATGTGCTTTGGAGAAAAATAAAACAGGATAGGGGTGCTCGGGTGGCGCATAACTTTTGAAGGGTAGTCAGGGAAGGCATCACTGAGGTGACATCTGAGTGGGTATTCGAAGAGAGAGAGGCAGTGAGCCAGATGATTAACTGAGGGAAGAGGGGTTGGAGCACGGAGAATAGCAGTACAAAGCCCTGAGGCAGGGATTGTTTGGGACATTTGAGAAACACTGAAGCTAGAGCAGAGTGAATAAGAGGCTCCAGTGAAATGAAATGAACTTAGACAAGGAACGGGAGCCAGACCATGTAGCTCCTTGTAGGTAATTATAATGGCTTTGATTTTTATTCTTAGTAGAATGGGAAGATTTTGGTCTGACTTAAAGTTTTAAATGGATCACACTGGCTACTGGATTGAGAATGGTCAAGGGTAAAAGGTCAGAAAACTATTGCAGTAATTTTGGCAGGAGGTGATAGCGGCTTTGGACCGGGGCTGTGAAGTCAAATGATGAGAAGTGACAGATTCTGGTTGTATTTTGAAGGTAGAGCCAGTAGGATTTGCTGATAGGTTAGATGTGGGTATGAGAGAGAGAGTGGAATCAGTAAGACTCTAAGGTTTTTGGCTCAAGCCACTGGAAGTATGGAATTACCATTTGCTGAGATGTGGCACACTGTACAAGGAGGAGGATTTTTTTTTTTTCTTTTGGAGGGGGGTTGATGAGAAATTCATTTATAGCCACGTTAAATTTAAGATGCTTGATAGATGTCTAACTGGAGATGTCTAGTAGGCAGCTGAATATGTGAACCTGGAATCAGGAGATTGCCACAAACTGAAGGGCAAGATTAGGATGTCACTAGCATGCCGTAGTATTTAAAGCCTCAAGATGAGATAAGGTCACCTAGAGTGTGAGTATAAACAAAGCCCACTATGAGTTTTAAGGATTGACCATACCAAAGCTGAGATGAGGTAAACAAGAACCAATGAGAGATTGAGAGAGTAAGCAGTGAGGTAGGCAGGGAACTGATAGGACTATTCTGGAGGCCAAGTAGAGAAAGTGTTTCAAGGAAGCAAAAGCGATTAAAAAATGATTGGTTGCCAAATGCTGCAGAAAATGAAGAAATGACCATTGGATTTAACATCATGGAGTGGATTCAAGAGAAAGAGGGGAGTAATTGGAGACAGCAAATATAGGCAGTTTTTCAAAGTAGTTTTGCTGTTAAGGGAAGTTGAGAAATAGCTGGCAGAAGATCTGGGTGGTGCAGGGTTCTTTTGTTCTTGTTTTAAGCTGGGAGAAATTACATCATGTTTGTGTGCTGATGGAATTATCCAGTAAGGAGGGAGAAATTGATACAGGAGAGAAAGCCGGAGAATTGCTGCAGTGGTACCCTTGAGCAGGCAGAAGGGGACTAAACCTAACTCATTAGTTGGGGAGTGAGGACGTTGAGATTGGAGCACACACAGGTCTTTCTTACAACAGGAGCAAAAGCAAGTATGTGGACACAGATGCCAGTTGGTAGCAGATGTAGTGGTAGAAATTCTCTGCTGATTTTCCATTT